TGTGAACGGAAGTTCCGGTCGGTCTTAACGGCTACACCTCATCTGATCGTACTCGGATAGGTTCACATGTCAGACACTGAGGCTATAGCCTCAGTGTCTGACAGATCACCACCCCTGTGTTCAATCCCCCTTAACACTCTATTGTATGTTTATTCATTCCTTTTTTATATTTCTTTCTCCTAAGTAATTCCGTGGAATAACTTAGTATTTTCCTCTGTATTAATATTCCTTTATTACAGAGATGCTAACTTATGTACATAAAGTTTATTCTTCTCTCTCTCTAAGTATATTCTGTAATTAGAGAGATTACTACACTTTGGGAATTGATTAATTTATTCCTCTCTGTATGGATTCCCCATAGAGAGAAATGATGTCATTCCCTCCACTTTTGATGTGATCATAATTTAAATACATATTCTGATCATTTATGATTTAAACACATAAAATGATCATCTGTGGACCTGTCCGGTCCAACAGGCAGTTTGAACCCTGCCTTGCAATACTTAAGGGGAGGGCTTTCCCTCAAGGATTCCTCCCCCCAGAGATTTGCCATAAAAACCCGTTATCCTTACTTAAATTAAGTGAGTTGGGTTTTTTATAATCTATTACAACTATTACAACCCTCCATCCACCCTTCATCATCTCCCTCTATTCCCTAGACTACAGTAAAGTCACTACTGTAGCCTAGAAGAGAGTTTTATATACTCTGAGCTCGGCACCGCGAAGCTCATTCCGCGTGTGTCCCCTCTAACCCAGGGAGCTAACCCCTCCGCTTCCTAGTGTCAAGGTGTGGTTCTTTTCCACTGACTGCCTCTGCAGTTATAGTGCGACCCCATAAACCCCATCAACGCCAGGTCACATAAGAGACAGGCGCTGACAATATCCTTCCGGCCAATGAGATACAACAACACCATTGGTTGATGAGGTGTAACAGCCCCATCGACCGGAAGGAATCACTCCCGGTCAATGGTATTGTTGTTTCTTATCGACCGGAAGGAATCACTCCCGGTCAATGGTATTGTTGTTTCTTATTGACCGGAAGGATTTCCTTCCGGTCATGTGGGAGCGACTCCCAAACCCCCTCAAGCATGAGGGGTGGTTTGGGGATCTGACTCCCAAAAATTCAAAAAAATATTAAAAAAATGAAACATCATTGGATGGCCGACTCCCAGAGTCGGCCATCCATTTGGAAAAACGACTCCCATTCGACGTTGGACGACCGTATTTGGGAGTCGGCGACTAAAATTTGGGGGTCGTTTTCCAAGCCCCTAAATTTAATCACCCACATTTGGCCCCCCTGACTTATCATCTGTGTGACATCGGCCATTGCCTCACGTGATACAGATTGTCACACTTCCTTTGGGTCTTTGATCACACCTCCCTCTCACATATCAACCACTGCCCCACGATTGCTGTCAGCCTGGGTGATGCCAAGAGCTTGACTCTTCTAGCTACACCAGGTGCAAAGCTAAGAAAAAAGGTGTACAAGTGTGGGTAACACTTGGAATGGGGAGGTGTTTGATATTAAGAAAAGAAATAATAAAAACTGTTAAGTTTTTATAAAGGGAGGGGCCTGAGTTACAGGGGTTTTTATGGTGCCCTCCAATGAATCAGGACCTGTTAAACAGGGGTATTTTTGATTTACCTGATGATCTGGTCCTTTGTGTAAAGGAGTATGCCCAGACAAGATGCCTACAACTGAAGTATCAAGGAAATATTACCTACTTGTACTATTTCCAAGCCAAGGGGGACTTCAGGAGGGGAAAAACTGGTCTGGAAGCGCTCAGAAAACTGGGTAACAGGTGGTGAGAGAGTGCTGGGGAACAGTTGATGGTTGGTTGGTTGAACTTCAGGATGAAAAACAGCAGGAACTGGGCCAAAACAGGTGATAAACTGGTTGTTGGAGGTGGTTATTGCTGGTAAGTGATGATGAAGATGGGGAATTTGAGTTTGTGGTCAAGAAGGGCTCCTTATATACTCATTCTGGGCCCTTGGAGGCGAACTCAGAACTCTGTTTGGCTGGTGCAAGCCTCCTACTAGGCATTGGTGACCTGTAGCACTGCCTAGACACCTGTAGTCCTTGGTTACAGGTGGCAGAGGGCTGAAGTGAGGCTTGTAACACACACTAAGGAGTGCTGTGACGAACCTGCAGCCATGGTTTGGGCACTGGGACCCTTTAATGACCAGTGGGCTGGTCTTAACCAGGCGTAGTTAGCCAAACTGGGCCAAAAAGGGCCACAAATGGCTTTTGACCAGCCAGTTACAGTTGTTGTGACAATGTAGTTAAGGTTTCAATGATGTCAACCTTATTTTTAGATTTTTCCCGAACTGCATGAACCTTAATTACATATGTAGACCTGTCACAACATGTAGTATGATGTAACTGGGAGGGTTTTTAGCAAAATGAGCAAGTGTCACTCAGAGTACACGGAAGTACCTGAAGGAGTAATAATTCAGGGGTACTTCTGGTGAGGTACCCTAGGTTATTTTGCATGAGAATTAAGAATCTGAAATGATATTCTAACTTCTGCTTAAGGTTTAGAAGTTATTTGTAGATTCATGTCAAAAATGTTTATTTATAAATGTTTTTGGTTTATTTTTATGTTTTCTTTCATGACTAGTAAAACTTAATGTAATGAGTAATAATGTCTCTATTATAGTGATTCCACTTATTTAAATATTAATGTTTTTATATATTCATATGTAATAATGTCTCTACATTATGTACATATAAAATAGACATTTAATTACATATGCTATGGGGGTAGTATATGTAATAATGTCTCTAAATATTTATGCTATGGTCGGGTTGTCTCTGAATAGTAGCAGGCTGACAATTGCCTAGCCACTCATGTCCGTCAGTCAGGTAAGCCAGTTGCACTTTTTCCTCGGATGTCTCTGTGATGTAAAACTGATCATGACTTTCTACTCGATTCCCTGGCCAGCTTGATCCAACCCTGTTAACACTTAGCCCATTAAGTGACCGTTTGGCACCCCCTCCTCCTGGAAGTCAGACAAGCGGCCCCGATGTGACAGGCCTCACCCTTGCTTCCGATCTGGAGCTCAATCGCCTCATCTCAACACAACGGCTGAAGTGGCTGGTGGGAAGAAGAAACGATACCACCAAACTCAGAAGGAAATGGCAGCGTTTTGCTCAGAGCAGGCCAATATTAAAAAGATCAAGGCCCTCGAGAAAGCGAAGGAGAAGCGGGCAAAAAGCCGTGGTCGTGGTGGTACTTGTTGTTTAACCCAGACATCGGCCTCGGAACAATCACAGGCCAACTTGAATCAAGCCTCGGCCCCGGTGACATCACAGCCATTGGTCCCGGACCCCAACCCTCCATTCAACTCGGATGACTATGAGAACGTGTGTTTGTACCTCAAGGAGGAAGCGAACTATACTAGGCTCTATGGCGATGGTTCAAAGACGTTGGTTGGGAAGAATAAGGTTACTAAGGGTGCGGCCTATGACATGTTTGCAATCTTTATCAACAGCAGTTCAAACCTTTGGCTTTGTCTGACCGGGAGCCAACTTCGCCAACGGATCGATGGGTACAAGAAGCGATTCATGAAGGCCAAATATTTCGCCAAGAACACCGGGGCTGGGATTGACGAAGGTGATGGCCTACCAACTCTCGCCGAGCTGCTCGAGAAGAAATGACCGTGTTATGAACGGATGTACGCTATATTTGGCGGGAAGGCAAATGTGACCCCTTTGGCACAGTTTGACTCCGGTGTAGGTGCCAACCTATATGCCGATTCTTCGAACGTGTGGGACGGTGAAGAACCAACTTTATCGCTGGAGATCTTCTACTCGGGATGGGAAGAGAGCGAAGTGGATCAAACCCCTTTGGGTGCAAATACCCCCGCGGCCGGCCTGGATTTGACCCGCTGTCGAAGTGCAATTGGTCACCTCAAGAGTCTTAATATCCCAAACTCAGATGGGGAGGGGGACCTGGATGATGATCTGCTCCCCCCTCCCCTGGACTTCAGTGGGACCGCGATGGATCCCTCGCCCAGCCTGATGACTCAACGATCGATTGCACGGGCGGCTCAAGGTTCTGCTAATCCAGCAGGCTATAGTGGGGCATCAGTCCCTTTGGTCCCCCAGTTAACCACTCGAGACCCAGGGGGTCCTTCCCCAGCAAACGGGGTTAGTACCAGCCGCCGCGCGTTTGCTAATCAGCAATCAACAGAAGCCAGCCCTGTGGGACCGGTCCGAGAGGGTAATGGGAAACAGAAAACGACGTTGGCTAGTGCTTTCAAAAGCTCAAACACTGAGAAATTTGCATATCTGAAGGCGCACATGGAGTGGGAGAAGCAGAAGGAAGATAACCGACTTCAGTGGGAGAAAGAATGATACAATAAGGAGGCCAAACGGGCGACTGAGGGTGCTCAAGGACTAGCTAAATTGGCCAAAACAAAGTTGAACACCGCGCAAATGTGGATCAACCAAGGCAAATCATCGGCCGAGGTTGACCTCCTCTTGAAGGCAATCTATGGATGAGGATATCTGAGGTTGTGAGTCATTTTCCTTCTTCGTTACTAAACATGCGGCAATGAGGCTGACAAGGTCCTCTTGCGTAGTGATTTTAGCATAGTATTACGGATTTGTGCATGGCTTGATTACTCGGGTCGCTGGTCTGACCAAGCAGCCTTTATTGGCCGGTCAGCTAGAAGTCATCTGGATCTTGTTTTCTCTTTTCATTTCCTCTTGTTCTCTATTTTGATTTCCGTCTATATACCGGAAGGCTGGTCTGTCCAAGCTGCCATTAGTGGCTCATCAGCTGGATTTTGTTTTCCATCTATGTCATCTGTCTAATCTCATTTTGCCCGGGCCGAGATATCCTATGATGTTACTTAACCGTTATGCAATGCGACTCAAATCACGAGGCGGGGAATTGCCTCCCATTCATGAGTCAGCCAGATTCACAGCTGTTTCCGCCAATCCATACACCCGGTTGTTTGGCCTTGTAAACGTCCTGTATCATACAGGATGGGTCCGCCTTAGCCGGGTGACAAAGGTGACCCGGCCTGAGTTTCACTTGAGGTAGTGACCCACTACCTCACATACTCCTCCACATCACCCAACCCCCAATTTCATTGGCACCACTTCGCCAGCGCAGGAGGGATCCACCATGGGATCTAGATGGAATCAACCATGGCCCCTCGAGCAATGCCATCTTACTCCAGTGGATCTCCACCAAAGACAACTACCACCAATGGGACAGTACAACTTTTGAACCAACAGAACGGCTGACTATCTGCGAGGAGATTGTTCAGCTCATGCAAATGCAGGGAATAGCCCATCGACACGCCAGGGGTAAGATACCATCAAATAAACGGCCTGTCTGCTCGCACATACCACATCACCTAATTTATGTTTGTCATAGGCATCAACACCCGCATTCAAATATTGTGGCGGTCTTACAACACCACACGCGAATTCGTCAATCATGCCAGAGGAAATACCAATGAGATTGCCCCCGTCATTCTAGGTTAGTGGAAATTCTGATTGCTTCATGTAAAGCGGTGAGGATGCAACAGGGAAATGACTTCTTTTGTGCTCATCACATGATCACCACCTAGGTATGCCCGGAGGGTTTGCCCATATTGGGATCTCCTGGACCCCGTGATGGGGGGGCAACACCCCCAATCCCATCAAGCCTACACAATGGCCGACAGCGAGGCGTCCTCAGACACCGAATCAACCAACACCATATGATAAAGAAGCAACAGAATGAAAAATATAGTATTGATACGTTGATGAGACTAAGAAAAAGATTGATTGAATTCCTAGTTAGAAGCAAGAGACTGAAAAAGAAGAATTGACAGGTGAAGCCATATGTGACAATAAGTGAGATAGAGCCGATCAGATTAAGATTAACTAAATTGGCAAAACGCCCAACAAGTAGTTGATATCTAAACAGTTAGCCTTGACTACATCCCGAACCTCTTGAGCTGTTTCTTCATTAACACCGGGCCCATCTGATCCTGGATGATCATTGATGGAGACATCCAACTCGGCCCATGCGTCACCAAGATGGGCCAGGATGTTGTGCAATGTAACACAACAATTGACCCATCTAATCACTTCCATCATGTCCGAAGGTTTTTGAATCGCCAGTTGTAGATGTTGAAGCGATGCCCATCGTCCTTTGAGGATCCCTATTGTGTGCTCATTCCGAACACGAGACCTTGCAAGACAGTAGTTGAAGTCGGAGTTTCCCTTGATGTAGGCCACAGGAGCTTTGTACGCAGGGATGCAGTGTACGGCCAACTCGTACACCGAGTCCGCTGTGGTGGTTCAGGCTGTTGTGCGCAACAAAACTGCCAAAACCCCTACCTTACAACCTAAACCACTTACATATATGAACATATTATTGCATAATCAGAATCTGCATACAATTTTACCCATAGTCACTCACTACAACTATACCTCTATCTCTATTAGTTTAGAAGATAATTCAATATAAAGGTTAAAGCCATACCATAACTAGTCATTAATTAGTAGTTAATAGTATTTTTACCACATATATACAAGTACATACACATAAATCATTACATAAGCAGGCCTCCACCAGTAGTGCAGAGCATTTATGCAACTCTTGCATGCATATGTGCAACCATTAGGCCTCCACTTAGTAACTTAATTGAATTTACGCAGACTTTGCATAAATGCATGTGGACAGAAAAACCTCCACCAGGCAGTGCAACCATTTATGCAATCCTTACATACAGTAGTACCATTTTTAGTTATTTCCAAAGCATAATTAGCTCAATGCATGTACTCTTTGCAGGAGGCAGTGCAACCCACAAGGTCACCACCAGCAAAATAACCTCAACTGCATCACCACCAGCAAAAATAACTCAGAAAAGAATATATAAGGAGGCCTCTCCTTCACCAATTCCCCCATCATCACCCAGCCGGTTCATCCCCCCAGCCAGCTCAGTGGTCATCATCATCATCATCACTCAGCAGCCCAGCTCCCACCCAGCTAGCTCAGTGGTCATCAACACAAACATCTCCAACATTAAAGTCTAATCAACACCAGTAACACCAACACCAACATCAACATCAACACCAACAACAACAACAACAACAACAACAACAACAACAACAACAACAACAACAACAACAACAACAACCAACAGTTTCACTATTTATCCAGAATCACCATAAAAACCATAAAACCCTATAAAAATATTCCACTTGGATTGTTTTCACACCCATACTCACCGTGTAAAGGTTGTACAACCATCTTGTATTGAATTACATACTGATCTAGGTCTGATAGAGACTACTACATATAAGTTTTCTCCATCATAAAGTTACGCCACAACAATAAATTAAATTGTTGTCAGAATTCTTGTGTAGTAAATAGAGGGGCAGGTCTTTCAAACCACCCGTAACAGTAAATATTATCTAGTGAAATATCATTATTGTTATTTCCCCCTCAAGGACTGCCAACCCATCCCAAAGGAGTTCTCACACCGCGATCAGATATTGTCCTGCAGGAGAGCTCCCAATCATTCAGTTCCAAAATCACACAGTTCTTCATATAATTAGCACAAACCTTGATCAAAGAACAAAGTAGGCTCCTTATGGAGCATCATCCGTTTAAAGACCATACTATCGCCACAAGAACCCGGCCAACCGGTCATGTAGGCAGTGATGAACCGGTCACAGTCGCACACCACCTGAAAATTGATCGAGTAGCGCTAGAGATGGTCGATTGGCATCCGGATATCCACGCAGATGCAGATATCCGGCTGCTTTTTCCGGCCATCTGAGCATCCGCACCCGCTGGCGGGTATCCGTCGGCCGCAGCGGGTATCCGAGCGGGTATCCTTGGATACCCGCCCTCTAAAAGGCCGGCTGGAAGGGTCTCCTTCCAGCTGGCAAGGTACTTGTACCTTGATGGCTGGAAGGGTCTCCTTCCAGTTGACAAGGTACTTGTACCTCGTCGACCGGAAGGGCTTCCTTCCAGTCAACGAGGTACTTGTACCTCGTCGACCAGAAGGGTGTCCTTCCAGCCGGCCATCTCCCCTTCCGGCCGCAGGTATCCTTTGGGATACCCGGATACCCGCCAACGTTTTGTGGAAAAGGGGCCATCCGCACCCGTTGGCGGGTATCTGCCAGCGGATAACGGGTATCCGCAACGGATACCCTTCGACCATCTCTAAGTAGCGCTTCTTTCGATCAAAGAAGACTTCACCATCAATTGAGGGGCGCTGATAAAGAGGTATAGTTGTTCCGTCGACAAAACCAACACATCCTTTGAAACCTTCACACTTCATCACATCAGATATCTCCTTTCGTCGCACCTTGTCTGGCCAGGTAAGGTACTTCTCCGAAAGATTGTTAATCGCGCGGATGACACGGCGACTGGCCTTGACCACAGTACCGCGGCCCACACCCAAATTCCTTGAGAATTGCCCCACAGAGGCCCCATTACCGTTTGAACCAAGCCTTTTGAGAGTGGGTGCTAGTTGGTGAGGGATTGGCAGTTGCGGGCGAAAGCTGTTGCTATGAAATATAGGGTTTAAATTCACTTGGCTTAAAAGCCATGTAAAGCCGGCCTTGGTGGTACGGACCGCCTGCTTGAAATCCTCATCTCGCATATCAAAAAGCTGAGCCAAATCAAATTCGTCGCGCATCCTTGGGGGCAATCGGGTATGTAAGTACCGACTCGATAGGACCACCTGCAACAGATCTGATACCATAGACTCGTCGCCAAACTTAACATCTAGTAACAATGCGCGGCCGGGATTATTGGGGGCAGCAATCCTTCCAAGGGAGTGGAGAACAGGAATGTTGATGGTAGAATCAAGGAGGTCATCGGTCTCTTGCTGGTGGAGGAATACGAGCATCATGAACAGATCTCGGAGAATCTGTTGTCGTTCACTGTATTGATGCATCAGGGAGTTGATCGCAGGCGGCCAGCGTCAGTGAAAAACTTTGGTGAAGCAATGTGAAAGCTGTCAGTAGAGTGACCAGTGTAGCCAGGGTATCGTGAACACCCCTAATGAGGAGTCTTACTCATGATTATTTCTTGTGTGTTAAAAATCAATTAAAATCTTAACATGCGCAGCATGCACAACCTTGCTGGTGGGTGATTAAGCTTTGCTGGTCAAAAGCTATCGTGAACCCCCCCTAATATCCTCATGTAGCTTCATGCTTAAATTGCAATCCATGGTTTGAAACCTGGGGAAGCTGCCTACACACATTCACACATAATGCTGTGTGCAGTACATACTTGAAACCACTTGTGCAATGTGAATCATGGAACATTGTGGCAGCACGCTGATAATGGATCACTTGATCTCTAGCTGCATCCAACATTTCCACTTGATCATCAAACATGAAGCTATCACAATCAGCCTTCGTTCTTCTACTGGCCTTCAGCTTATTTCAAGGCTACAATGCTATGCAACGTTCTGGTCGTGTCAGTGAATTTCACGATCTTGAAGATGCTTCTATGCCAGTCATAGCACCATCCGAGGGTAACTTTCTTCCCTCTTGCTTGCTTCTTCCTCAATTTTGCGTCACATACTGAAATTGGATAACCGATCACTTTGCATTGAAGAACAAGGCCGAGTTAAACTTGGCCCTCGGCCTCAGCCACAAACCATTGACAAATACGCATCTACTTCTGATGCTTCAAGTTCCATTCAAGGTTAGAAGGGACTCAAAATGCATACCTCAATTCTAGGTATCATAAAAAGATCAGATGAAAACACTGATTCGTGCTTTGCTTCTATGAATTAGGAAAAATTTCACAACAAGATCATGTTTCAATCTACATCGACGAGCATGGCTACCTAAAGACTCAAAAGAAAGGGGGTGGCCGTCCTGCCGAGAGAAGTGGTAAAACCACAGTTCAAGACACAATGAGTGAGCAAAACAATCTGACCTCTCACGTTAAATTATTTAAGCTGATTTTTGGGATTAAGTATAAACTCTTTGTCTCTTAGATCAGAGGAAGTTTCAGTCACGCAAGATCGATTTATACACCGTATTTGTTGTATTGGCTTTTGAATTATACCTCTATCTTCTCTTTAGGATGTTGGCATTAGCTGCTCCTGCAAACCTCAAATTTGATTGATAATTTAACCTGATTCTTCCTCATTTGTTGCGTTTGCTCACATGAAGTTGATTCAACTTTGTATAATTGCGCGGTTCAATCATTTTGATTTACCGCTGTGATCTAACAAGTTTTTCCACCGAGTTGCCTGTGAAGTAAATATCTGACGAACATACACAAGTTCTTTCCCGACTCGCATCAGATAGAACACATGGATTTAGATGATCTAAAATGGGAAAATGAAAAAAATGATATTCGGTACATAGAGTAGAGTGTTACAAATAACCATCAGTATCACTCAACATTTAAAATTTTGTTGTTGAATCACAATCTAAATATGCACGGTCGCCAGTGCAAGTCCCCTTGTGCTTTACCTGACTGCCTGCAAGGAATCTATGGTGATCAATCAATTGGTTTGATCTCTCCACTGATGGAATTTTGTCCAGTCGGCCAAAAATGTGTACAGTACGGCTGCAACATTGATCCTTTCTCAATGGTCGGGCCTCGGGCCGAGGTCCCGCGCCCCACAGAAAATTGAAATTTGGCACTGGGTAAGACTTCACCCCTTGAGTTCGGGTTCGCCAAGGTCTTGGGTCAAACAGGGTCACACTTCCTGGCTCAAATACAACCCGGCGTCAATTTTACTTGTGCAGGCAGATCTTTGAGCTCTAGGAGAAGGTTTCAAAAATAAATTGACCTCATATGCCAACTATTTACAGACGAAGTTTGTCCGGACTCCTCCGGGAGGTATTTTGTGATCGATTGATAACAATTGCTGTAATGACTTTTTCAAAGTAGTCTCGTGGGTTACTTTCGAGCGTGTGCTACAACTATTCAGGTGCCCACTGGTTCATGAGGTGGATTTGAGAAACCAAAGACCACCCGGCACTCATCGACCAGATATCAGTTCAATGGGAATCAATTTTTTGTGAGTAGTGACTGAACTCCTCCAATGACCCACACTCTTGTGAAGCTCGATCAAAGACCATATGACAGCATTGGTACAGGGTTAAATATACACGATCGGTCAAGCAAGGTGATAAATTGATCAACCGCTTGATGTTTTGTGTGCACAAGGCGGGTTTGGGCGACGCTTGCCACGGATAAATAGCTCCTTTGGGTCACCCTCACAACTTTTCAACCCGAACCAAGCTTTCCCCTCTACTCAACTTCAAGCCTTAGATATGAAGCTATCAATAATAATTCTTCCCCTGTCCCTGAGCTTATTTCAATGTTACAATGCTATGCAGCGACCTGTTGATCTTGACCCCTTCAAGGAAGTGAACGATGTTGGTACCTCCGGCAAAGGTGGTTCAGACGGTGATTTTTTTCTCCTGCCTTCGTTGTTTCAAAAATCTGGTTCTTGTACTGACGCTTATGATGATTGACCCTTGTCTTCGCATCAAAGTACACAACCAGGTTGATCCTGAGCGCCAGCCTAAAGATCTCAACGAGGCGTTTACTTCCAATACTCCTGCTGAAGGTATGGTCAAGCCTTGAAGTTCTGGATTTGTTTTCAGGTGTCAGGAAACGGGAGTTTTTTTTTATGATACCTTTTCCCTACCCCTCAGTGACAAACTCAAACCCGGATGAGAACACTAAAGAAAAAGTTGGTCAGCCGGAAACGGCCCGACTAAGGGAGGCTGATGCCCCAGAATCTTCAAGATCAAGGGGAACTGCTCGCCCGGGAACTGCAAGACCAAGGGAGGCCATTCGTATTCCAAGACGCGAAGTATTTTTGGTAGAGGAGGAGCGCGGTAAGTTGCTTGAAATGTTCATTCATAGCGCATACTTAGTGATGCCATTGTCAAGCTGAGTGTATGCCAAACATTTTCATCTCCCAGGCAGATTTCCGTTTCTCAACCTTGATTCATGGACTGTACTTGTTGTACTGGTACTCCAACTAGAAATACTTGTTTTAATTAGACTTTGGGGTCTGTCTTGCTGATAAGTGAATATTTTGGAACATGCTTTCAACGGTTCTTCCCCATTTTTTTCTACAAATTTTTCTCACAGGGTAAAATTATGTATAAACTCATGTGTTTCAAGAAAGATTATCATAGTTGACCATTATGATCCAAGTGTTTTCCCAAAACCATTTGCTTGTGAATATTTTTTAGCATACCAACACAAAGAAATGTGCAGATTCTCTCTATTGCCAGAATGTATTATAGGGAAATGGAAAACCAAAGCGGCACTGAACTCAAAAAAAATGTTTATTTTGGTGTACCGCAGCGCCCCCCTGCTACACCAAGATGGCGGGGTGGTTGAGCTACAAAAACATCGACACCAGCCAATAAGATGATTTTCCCCTCACAGTAAAAATTTGACCCCCCCCCCCTAAAAAAAGGGGGTAAATGGTGGTGTGACTAGGAGTGGAAAAGGAAATTGATCAAGGTTGATTTTGGGGTGGCTGCACGACTGTACGGCATCGCGACTACCTCATCCAAGCTTCGACAACGCTGTCATCTCCACAACGTGGTATTACCAGATCAAGAATCAGTTACCAGAAATAATAAGTTCTCACAAAGCATCTCTCTAGATGATTACCACAACTCAATGAAAGACCATTTTTGCCTTTCCAAAAAAAAAATTATTCCTCTGATTCATATTTTCTATCTTGGGACTAGATGTCTCCTGTGTCCTTCTCAATTTTTTTTTGCCCAGGCAATGGAGAAATTGAAAGGGATGCATTGCGTGCATGCGCATGGTAGATTTTGAGTGATGGAAATTCACATTATTTTTGATGGGCATAAGATAAGGGGATTAATCTACAACAAATTTTTCCAATACAGACAAATACAAGAAAAGAAGGCCATATGGACTGATTCAGCAAGGATATTCCCACTTCGGTAGTTCAACTTCAACTCGGCAGATGGGGCAGCCCAAGTGTCCTTCTGGCCATTGCTGGATTGGAGCAGAAGTGGATTGAAATAAGCTATGAAGTATGAAAAATCAAGTTAAGACAAGCTTAGTTACCTGAATGCAGTCGCGGTGGAAAAGGTGGGAAGGATGACATGGAAGCTGAATAAGACTTTTTTCAGGGTCGGCGAGCTCATCCATGCAAACCGTGCAGCCGGAACCTTTGCCGTCGGGGTTTGATGGCAGAGCGGCAGGAGTCGTGTCGGAGAGAGTGTCCAATTGTTCTTCAACCAGAATTCTTTGCTTCCTGTGGGAGAGAACCCAAGATTTCACCAGTTCATCAATCACACGAATCCAATAAACCCACACGTTGAACAAGGGTTTGGCGACTTTCCATTCCAAACTGTCATTCAATCCACTTCTGCTCTAATCCAGCAATGGTTAGAAGGACACTTGGGCTGCCCCATCTGCCAAGTTGAAGTTGAACTACCGCCATGGGAATATCCCTGCTGAATCAGTCCATATGGCCTTCTTTTCTTGTATTTGTCTGTATTGGAAAACTTTGTTGTAGATTAATCCCCTTACTAGTGTCTAAGCGCAGCTTCAACACCTGTTCACGCACATGACATTTCCTGACCTTTGAACCTACCTGTTTTGAGCTACAGAGGTGCAGTAAGAATTAAATTCAAAGGCACTCCTGCAGTGCAAAAACGGTGGTTTGGGATACAATCCCGCTCCCAATCCCAATCCTGCAATCCTGCCATCCTCCCCCCCTCGAAAAAATATGTAGGGTCCTCCAAAGTACAACCAGATACCCAATCCCTATCCCCTATCCTTATCCCTATCCCTCATCCCTAATCCCTAACCCTAATGCCTAAGGCCTATTGGGGTGAATGAGAAGGGAGGTTATTCTTTGCTTATTTTTGAAGTTGAGATTTTATTGGTTTGACTGGCGGGAAGGGGAGGATTGCGGGATTGGGAGTGGGATCCACCGCTTTTGAACTTGAGGAGTGTATTTGCATGCATTTATTACTGCACTTCTACAGTGTAGGGCTTGTAGGTCCATAGGTCCATTTCATTGTTTACTCTATCTTTTCCCAGGCCAAAACTTAGTCTATTTATTACAATCAAACAACATAAATTTTGATCTAAAATCATAACATCTTCAAATCGGAGAAAGGGAAGGATGAAGTTTTGGTCAAAGCCAAAGGATGAAGTTTTGGTCGAGGCCGGGGATTAATTGATGAAGAAGGGGGGGGGGGTTTAACTTTTTGCTGAGGAAACAAGAGATGACAAATCAAACGGAAGAATGGCAAGATTGTGGAATTGAGAGTCCTTTTAAGGATAGTCAAAGAATGGTGTTGCATCCTTGCCAGGCTTAATAACATGGCAGCAAAGGTAGACCCAGAGAGGGCCAATGACAATGAGGCTGGGTTGCGCCTTGCCTAATTGAAGGTATTTGTTGTGTTTGGTCTTGTTGGAAAATGGAAAATTGAGATGAAGAATATTTGCCTAATCAAAAAATGAGTAGAGTGGAAAAGGAAAATCACTGAAAATAGGAACAGGTACATACAAAGTCAAGAATGGAAAGGGGTTTTTCAAGCTGAGAAAAATGAACCAAAAAAAGGGAAAAGTATAAGAAGAGAGGTGTTAGCTTCGAAGCGGATGCCAGAACAAGTTAAGGAAGAGAATTGATGTATCTTCCACCATTGCTCTATGTGATACTTGTTCTTGGGGCAGTTTGTGGTTTAACGTTAAACAGTTGAATCTTATGCCCATCAAAGATAATATGAATTTCCATCACTCAAAATCTACCATGCGCATACACGCAATTCAATTTCAGCCCTTTTAATTTCTCCATTGGCTGTGCAAAAGAAAATTGAGAAGGACACAGGAGACATCTAGTGCCAAGATAGAAAATATGAATCAGAGGACTGATCTTGGAAAGGCAAAAATGGTCTTTCATTAAGTTGTGGTAATCATCAAACTGTTGAACCTTGGATGGGGCGACTCTACACAGTCACCCCCCATCACACCACACTGTTGAAATCTGAGCCCCAAAAGGGACTCGGACTTATCCCTCTAACCTCAAAAGACTACTAAAATATTCATGACATCATTCTCGCTGAAACTCTCGCACTGTTCTCAAAACACGCTCGACCCTTCTCATCCTCACCTAGAACTCGGACGACCAAAGCGTATCAAATCATCTTTCCTTTTTCCATATAACCTCGCCTATCGCTCCTCGGATTTCTTTCTCCCAGGCCAGGAACTTTTCTGGGTTATCATTACAACCCAAACACATCTACTTTCTATCGTCATCTATTCTACCGATAAAAACTTTGTTCCTCCACTTGGCAAATCTTATAAGCCATCTTGTCATATCAACGAGCTTGACTCGCACTCGAAGAATCTCATCTTCTCCTTCAACGCTTCTTCCCTTCATCGTTCAGCACTTCCCTTCCTCCAACACTTCGCCGATCAGACCAACGTGCTTCCCTTCCTTCTCGACCTATCGCCGATCATCATCTCAACGATTGGTCTTCCTGAGTGTAGTAGGTTATCACACTTAAACGTCTCTCTCTTATGATTACATGATCAAGACATTGACCGCTCTTCGTTTCTCTTAGTCGCTTCTTTCTTATTGCTCTCTGCTTTTCGAGAATTGTTGTTCTTTATCATAAATCTATTGTTTGCCCTTAGGTTTGTTGATATTTTTCTTTTTGCTCATGTATTTCTTTTGTTCATCTTGCTCATTAAGAAATACAACCTTAGTTTGTTCATTCACAGATTTACAGTCTCGTCATCTCCTACGAACGAACGACCTAAACCAAAACTAGGGCAAACGATGGACGACGAAGAACAGCATCAATCGGTGAAAACTGAGTCCCTCCTCCCTATCCTGAACGCCGACAATTATTCATCCTGGTACGGACGCATGAAGGTTCACCTGAGAGGAAAGGACCTCTGGAACGTCTGCATCGCCAAGATGGTTCTTGATCGCGATCCACCTCCGACTCTCACAGCCATCAATAAACACACCAAAACGATGAATGAAGCCATCGCCATCATCATACCTCGTCTCAATTCTCGGTGCTATAGGGAGTGCGTCAACTCTGAAACGATGGACGACTCCTTCCTTCTATGGGCTAAACTCGCCGATCAGTATGCATCTCACTCTGTTATAAATCAAGGAAGAGTCTTCATGAGCTACGCCGCCCTGAACTACGACGGGGATCTCCAGAAGTATATCGATTCAACAAGAAAATCTCTCATCGACATGGATACTGTCGACATGATCATGCCAAAGAAGATCACCTCGTATTTCATTCTCGGCAAATTAATGAACAGGGACCTTGATCAAGTTGTCGACAAAACTGCCTTCGAACCCGATGTGATGACCGATCCATACAAGGTTTTGAATGCGCTTCAAGAATTCCAAACTCATAAGAAAAATAAACTTATTGATGCTCCGAAGGGTACCGCTCTTATTACATCTTATTCTTCTGGATCGTCTTCTTCTAAAAATCCAAAATTCACTTCAAAAATCATCCATTATTGTGGAGGAGGTGAACACAATCCAGAATCGAATCATCCTGAACCGCGATGTTTTGAGAAATATCCACACCTGAAGACCGAAGACAGAACTCCTAGAAAAACCAAGAATGCTTCCGCTAGTTTCGCACATGCTACAGCGTTCGTCACTCAACGCTATTTAAGTCAAGAAGATTCTATAGTCATCGATTCAGCCGCATCTCATCATATGCTTCGCGATCGACATCTATTTCAAAGCTTTGTCGCTGAAAAAGTGGTCATCAAAACCGGCAATCCTGGCGCCAATCTTACTGCTGCTGGGTACGGACGAGCGACGATCTATATCAATGGGAGGACCATTTCCCTTGATGATTGCCTACTTGTCCTGGACATTTCCCAACAACTAATCTCTCTCGTTCGAATGATTGAAAATTCGGTTACGATCAAGAAAGACGGGTCAACTTTTGAAATCAGCGATTCTCGCGGACCAATGTTCCGTGGCAAAATCATC